AGACTCATCTCCTTTGGAGATAAGCCCCACCACTGTTGTATCATCTGCAAATTTAATGATAATACTGCTGAAGTGAGTGAGGGTACTTCAGCACTGAAAATCCAGACATCTCTGAACTGCTAATAACCCTCCAAAATACAAGCTGTTAGGAACAGCATCTATGTTTCTTTCTAGCTATGCTTCTTCGCAGCCATCTTGGGGGTAACTATCCTTGTTAAGGAAAGTAAAACAAAAATGTAATGGGAAACACAGAGTACCACAAGTAGAAAATGGCATAATCTGTTCCTTTGTTAAAAACAGCATGACTGAATCACAGTCATTGGATTATAAAAGCCACATATGGAAGCATTAAGTAGAGACAGTATTGTGTGTGTTATTTTTTCTTTTGCAGTGCTTGTCTTCATAGACTTGGATAAATAGAAAATAATATTAGAGGAAAATTTCAGAGATTATCGATTTTGAGGTTCAGGTTCTTGTTATCAGCACTTATATATTTAGTACATATTTATTGCTGTCAACATTTGATTGCTGCTTCTCTTTTCCAGAATCCAGAGAAGAAAGAGATACTTAATACAAGATTTAAATTATAGTTCAATGTTTACAAAATGTAGAGGTCTCTGAAGGAATAAAATGCAGCTCTTAGTGAAATATAGGCCAAGTACTGGACTTCGAACTGAAAGCCAGAATTAATGTCTATTTTTCTTAAACAGTTCAGCTGCCCCAACAATTGGTGATTTCTTTTTAAATGTTTTCATTGAATAATACTAATGAATATTATAGATTGTTATGAAAATAAGCTGTGTAAATATTAGAATATGTACTAAATCCTGATAGAGTTCAAAGCAAAAATGAAATTCATCTTAGAAAATGAAAATATTTCATGTATCTAATCCACTTTTCTATTTTTCTTTAAAATGCAGAATTTTTCCAATTAAGGACGTGCCTGTTGATCCTGAAGCCCTCACTGTTTGGTTATATCAACGGTTCATTGAAAAAGAGGGTCTCTTGTCACACTTTTACAAGACGGGTAGATGCTTTTAATATTCAGCACTCATTTCTCATTGATTAGTCAAAGATCAAGGTTTTTAACACTGTACTAAGCAGCTCATCAATATAAGAAATATCTGTGTAACACCAACAACTATTTCTTAATCCATGTAGAAGTAGCTTTCATGATATACAACTCCCATATTGTATTCTCATTTCACTGGTTCATGAAGCAATGGATGTATGTGTTTGTGTTATTCTCCTTTCTTGAGATAATATATATTTGTAAAATGGACATTAAAGATTATGTAGAATAAATTTGTTAGTCTTTAAGGTCTGTTAGACTTTTTGTTGAAAATACCTAATCAGAGGACAAAGAAAGAAATCGATAGTTATGTAAGTAGAAACCATGATTTATTTCATAGCTTGTAGATTTGTCTAAGAAAGTTCAGGTGGCTTGAAAACCAAGAGTTGTTGAGAGTATTCCTGTGGCTCTCCTGCTGCCATGAACTTTGAAATTTTGTTAGGAAACAATGACACTTCATAATTGAGTTATTGAACAATGTCATTATTCAAGTAAATCTATGTAATACATTAAACTTACATTAAAATACTATTCACCATGTTGTTTCATTGCCAAAATGATGTCATCCTTACTTTTTTAATGTTAGAAAAATTCAAAGAGGATCTTTGAAACTATCCAGGTTCCTTCAGATTAGATTTGGTGCAGTATCTTGCTTTGTGAGCAAAACCATATCTTAATAAGCAAAACTATTGAAGTTCTTCTGATTCGTTTGTCTGTGTGGGTTGGAAATACATTGTATGATATGCCTTCTACCAAATGAAACCCTATCTCAAGATCAAGGAATTCAGCTCTGATGCTAATCATAGTTGAAGCTAAACCCAAACGCTTACCCGAACAGAAATTAAACAAAGATATATTCATTTCCACTGCTTTACTAGGACGTGATAACTAATTCAAAATGTTGCTAAAACAAGAAACCAAATTAGCCTTAGTTGGGGTAAACACTATTAAGATATGTAAACAATATTTGCTCCAGGCAGGAAAATGTTTGCAGGTAGGGAAACATAACTGCCTCCTAATGTATTGATAATCATAGAAGAGAACCAGGGTTATATCTGCTGTGCCCTGAGTTCTTGTTAATTTCATGATTGGGAAAAATTCCAGAAAGGTAGCTTGAACTTGTCACAGAGTGTTTCTTCTTCTCTTTCAGGAATGTTCCCTCCTCTGCAAGGACAGACGGAAGTTGTTTCCCGGGAGATGACCCTTAGCAATTTGTGGCTAGTTCTTGTACAGTTATTTGCATTTTTGTCGGGTGGTATGTGGTACTGCGTTCTTCAGTATTTTTATGAATGCCTATTTTAAAAGGTGAATGAATGGGACACAAGGACACAATGAGGAACTTGGTACTTTACAGAATGCATCATGTTATGTGTTCAAATATGAATATGCCAGTAGAAAGGAACATACTGGATGGACTTTCTCTCCTTTTGGGGGAGGATTTTAAATTCCACTAGAAGAAAGGATCAACAATATAATGACCGAATGATGATATATTTTAAGAACTGTCCATATTTTTAAAAGGCGTGACTCCAGCAAATTCAGCATTTGAACAGGAGATGCAGTTATACAACCATCAGAAGTGAATATCTGTAGCAGAGAATGCTTTTGTCACAGGTAGTATTCAGCACTGTAGTTAAAACTCCAAATTTTCAGCAACTCTTTCTTCAGTAGTCTGTACTGCAAGTCTTGTGGTAGAGATCCTTCATCTGCACAACTCAAATTGTATTGTAATTAATTATGCCGGATCTGTTTAACATAATCCACAGTCCTGGCTATGGTATTGTGACTACCCCATGATACCTGTTTAGTAGCTTTTTTTTTCTTTTTCTTTTTTAAAAATTATTTTGAACATTATCTCAGTGAAATATTCTATTGTAACCCATGAAAAGGAAAAGTACATTGCAAGAAGCATTGCAGTGTCATGGAGTGTTGAAAAAACTGTGCATACCTCATAGACCAGTCTGTTCTTACCATGTTTTCTGTTACTTGAACCTCTTGTGAATATCCTCTTGAAAGGGTGCTTCAGAAATGGAATGTCATTAATCTGTTTCCTGTTGTTATTATAGAATGCATTTTGTGTATGTACACGCTTTCCCTCCCTCCCTCCCTTCCACAAAATGCACTTTTAAAAAGTGATGATAAGAAGCATAGCTAGAAAGAAACATAGATGCTGTTCCTAACAGCTTGTATTTTGGAGGGTTATCAGCAGTTCAGAGATGTCTGGATTTTCAGTGCTGAAGTACATGAGTTGCCACAGACTTGGCAAAATAATATTTTTTGTAATTTTTAATCTTCAGAGAGGCCTTTATTTTCATCTGACAAAAGAAGCACTGGAAATGCATGTGAGACAGTTTCTGTACATACATGCCAAGCACCTAGATGCTTTGCTTATAGGAAAAATAAGAGGAAGTTAGTTTAATCACCAGACAGAAAACCTAGTCTTTGAGCAAAACAATAGGAAGATAATCTGCTTTATAATCCAGAGCTGTAGTAAAATTCTCTGAACTGTAAAGGGCATTACTAAATCTCTCATCTTGCTGAAATATTTCACTGTCATAGAAAGGGAGTTTAACTAAAGATGCAATTTGGCACTAAAACAGGGTTCCAGGTGATCACATTACAGTTTTATAATAATTTTGAAGGAAAAGAGTCTGTGTTGTTATCACTCTTTGAATGCTTGGCATCAATACTGTATGCTGCATCGTAATATACAAAACCATTCCTAGAAACCCGTTTCTAATTTACACGTTCAGGCCTGTACACTAATTACCAAATGTTGTCTTTTATGGACTGTAACCTTTTTTCAAAGAGCAAAGCCAAGCCAACAACAGTTGTCTGTGCTGAGTTTGAGATATATATTCTCTGGTTTTTGTTTTGTTTTTGTTTTCCCAAATTACATGAGAACCAGCTTTGGTGAGTAGTATATAAAATAAAAATATAAAACCACATTATACTTACTTCTTTTGTTTTGAATGGGGAAGAAGCAGAATAAGAAAAGCAAATGTTCTATGTTATCTGTATAAATGTCATAAAATACAACTAATACTAATTTTAAACTATAGAATACATTTCAGTATGTATCATGGCACCATCTATAGTTCACCCTAGGATAATGTACATTTTCAACATCATCATAGTTACACTGCAAAAGGCCATTAGTGTGACATTCAGCTGTGAGCATTAAAGGTACATTTTAACTAGTTTTTGACACATGAGCAATTCATTACTAATATAAGAAAAAGAAAGCTATTTAAAGGAATTCTTATCAAGTGTAGATTTTGGGATAAGATTTCTTTTTAATTCCACTTGGCTTTTTGAGCTGGTGCTAAAGTGAACAGGGGGCTTCATTTTCCTTTAGCAGGAAAGTGTTACAGGCTTTCTTTCTACAGTACTCATTACATGGATGTGACTATAATCCACATTTTGTCTAAAAAAAATAAGTAGATACTCAATTCACTGCTGTTTTTAAACTACTAACTCTGAGCAGGAATACTGTTCTTGTCCATTGTGGATATTGTTCATAGGAAAATACTACAAATTCTGATTGGGTGCTTATTAGAACAGAAATGGATATCACTGGGTGATGTAGCTTAACCACTAATTTTAGCTTATTTTCTTTAATGTGATACAATGACATTTATAAAGCACTGATGGCCCTTCAATCATGAATTATTCCTATGATTCTGATAAAATGGTATGAAGCTATGTCCCATTAATTTTGAGGGACACTTCCAAATGAGACGTTTGGGTATAAATTGCATTGGACTTTTTTATTCTACTATTTGCAGTAGCAAATATGAAGAAAGATTACTGTGTCTTCTTTATAGCTGAATCAGGAGAAACTGAAGATAGTGGTTTCAGGAACTCCTAAATAAAAGCATTTTTCTACTTGCAATATGTGATTGTCAAATTGCTTATTCCGCAATAACCCACTGAGTTTAACAGGACCAAATGATCCAATTTAAGAATGCAAAAAGTGTGTAGGGAGGAATCTATATATGGGTGTATATGCAATGTTGTGTTTAGTTAGTAACTGTCAGCTCAAGCCTCTATTCAGTAAAGCATTTCATAGACACAAGTGGACGGTATCTCCTCACACCTGGTACATATTGAAAGGTAATTAATACCTTAATATCCACTGCGTCATCTAATCACAAATGGAGAACATTGTGGCATCACCTATATTAACTCAGATGAACAACCATTATGTTCTTGGAGCTCCTAATGCACATCACAGTATGTGCTTCATATGGCCATACATTAAAGAAGGGAAGTAAGAATACCCACCTTAACAATACCATGTTAGAAGGTATGTTGCTAATTTTGTAAAATTGTTTTGTGTGCCTTTTCCCTCTAAATACATGCGTTGTATTCCAAACTCTGCTCATGCCCCAAGCTGATTCTTTAAAGCAATACTGCAAAATTCACATGTGAATGTGTCATGATTTATTTGGGGTCATTATGCTAAACTGAGACAGGTAATTCAGACGTTTTCCCCACCAGTGGAAAGGCTGTCAAGAAGAAGATGGAGTAGAATGCAGGATTGGACTTAATGAGTGCAAAGTTTCAGGGAAGCAAACTTCAGCTAAATGATAGAATGTACCTCCTAGCCCCAGAAATTTGCTTCAGAAGATGGTGGGCTTTGCCATACTGGTAGTTAACCATATGCTGAACAACTATCTCTCTAAATGGCTTCATTGAACATGCATAAGCATGACAATTTCTATGATCCTAAAAAAAATGGATTTTTTTCCAGCAACTTCACTATGGAAACTAATATTATATTGGCCTTTGGGCTCTAAAACAATATGGTCTTATTTGGAGATCAAAGTGAAACTTCTCTTGCAGCTTTGCAAGGTCTCTAAATCCAGTTTGGAGAGGTCTTAGTCTTTGTCCTTGTTTTGTAGCTTATCTAAACTTTGTACCTATTCTCAGTGCTAAATACTGAGAATTTTTAGATGTTTTCTTTGCAGGTTACTATTACATACCTTTTGCTGTAAGATTTATTAAAACTAATTTCTATCACGATGTTGAAGTTGTGGGTTTTAGAATAATAGATGCCATAATTCTGGATTTAACCAACTTGGTCTCTCCTTAGTTGCACGGCCATTCTTTATACTTTTACACAGATACCAAAACATGCTTTTTCCTCCACACAAATATATGACATTATCAGTTTAAGCACTTTTGATTCAATGTGAAGAAAATGCTAGTTTTTTCATTGTTCAGTATAGTAACTGTTAACAGGATTGTTAGATAACTACATACAAACTCAACTTTTAGTCTTGATTTGATCAAGCAGAAAAAAGCCAGAGTCAGTGTAACAGATGAGCAGATAATTCAAGTCTTGTTTGCCCTGTTTACTTGTTATATTCTCTGTGTTTTTTAAAACTTCTCTTCTACCTTGCTGGCTTGGGCAGGGCACAAAAACAGAACAGGAATAATCCAGGAAGCTACAGACAAAACATGCATCACCATTAGAATGGTATTCTAAACCACAGCTTCAATCAGAAACCCAAGATTACACATTTGTTTATGCTAGCTTATTGTCTTAAACTTGTTTATTTAGTGGCATTAATGCAGTGAACCAGTGTTCCTCAGCCTTGGCATCTTTAAGATGTGTGGACTTCAACTCCCAGAATTCCCCAGCCAGCCATTAAACTAAGCCAAAAGCAAGCCACACAATAGCTTGGTGCTATGTTCACAGGGATTATTTAAACTGTGGTGACTTACTTATCATTAAAAATCAAGTCATCTGCTTTTCCTGAAAATGTGTGTGGAAATTATATGCCTATAGGATATAGGTTAACTTCAGATCGCAGGAATAGCACAGTATTTTTTCTAGGCTAGAAGGGATGAGTTTGTCAATAATAATGCTGACTCCATAGAAAGCAATACAATTTATATATTTCAGAATTATTTGTGCTTGGTGTTTTCAGGTGATCTCTTGGCATGCCCTGTGAATTTTCAGGGTCAAAATATGGTGTTATCTCCCTTTATGCAGCTACAAATCGAAATGCCTTGAATGATACTGAGTGGGACTGTTGCATTGATTTCTTTGAGGTGAATTACATTATGATTCTTGACTGGAAACTAAGATGTCTTTTTTCTTGTTATCTGAATACTAAAAATGGTTTGGAAAATCCAAAGCCCACACTGGCACTCTTAAATTTGTTTTGAGATAATTTGTCCATTTGTCTATAACTTGGCAGTCAAAGGCATATGCAAAACATCTGTTTGTCAAAAATGTAGCAATTAGCCCCCTGAACTAGAATATGTCTCTCAGTTCCTTAATGTGAGGCCACAGTTTTGCTACACTGAAATGGAGCACAAAACTATGATTTGGTTAAAACAGTGGGTTGGATTTTATATATTAATATTATACATTGATACAGGCTAAGCAAGAAGCTATGATTTCTTTCACAAGTTAATTGAAGCTTAGATTACCTTTTCCCAGGCAAGCAGGGGAAAAGGGAAGGTGGAAGAAGACCCAGACATGAGCCGCACTAATGGGAGCATAGGTTAGTATAGTGTCTGAATCCAACCAATGTTTTCAACTAGTGTTTTAATGTTTAGAAAAAGTATCTGTTTCCCATGGGTTGGATGATCCACTAACACATGCCCTCATCTTTGAATTAAAGCAGAATAACCAGCTTCAGAAAAATAGCTTTTATTAATAAAAGCTATTTTATTATCTGGCTACAGATAATAGTATGATGAAACAACAGTTCAATCACAGCAGAACAATACAAACAGAGCTGGGCAGTTATATAATGGGAAGGAACGGTGTCCTCTGAAGTAGCATAATCTTAAATTGCTCTGACTTTAATCTGCAAGGCAGCTGGGCAAAATTTCATCAGAAGTCACCTCCATAACTAGGTAAGGATTCAGTGTTGACATAAACTGCATATCTGAAGGCAAGGGACTACGAAATTCAGCTCAAAGACTTCAAGTGAGCCAACAGTGGTGTCTGCAAGGTATGGTTAAAAAAAAAAAGTCACAATTGAAGCTCTGCCTGTACGTGACACACAAAAATAGGTGGATTTCATCTTCATGGCTGCCATCTTGACTTTTTCCCCCCCTGATCAGGGGAAATGCCTTTAAAGATGAAGGTCAACTCTTTCAGGGGACAAGCAATTATGGTGACCAGAATCCTTCAAAAATCAAATATGGATAAGCTTTATGTTAATTTGAGAGAAGTACAAATCTTGTCCTATGTTGTTTTGGAATGTTACTGTTAGGAAGGTACAGTCTTTCAAGCAGTTCTTTTGGAACTTGATTTTTCCTCATTTAAAGCATTTTTACCCCACTTTCACCTCAAAGGCTACAGGATTGCATAAAATGGGGGTTGGGGGGAGAGTCAGACTTTTTTGCTGTCCTGCAATATAAAAGCAAGACAAAACTGAAAGAGGAATTGAGGAAAATAAAAAGATGACATCAATTAATAAACTTACAATGATTCTTGCAATAACCTGTTGGGGGCAATTTCCCAGAAGCAATGGAGAGGTCTTGCATTCTTCTCTGTCCGAGAATATGTATCAAATGGAAGGAAAAGGTGTTCTTCCTAGCTTGAAACAAAATAATAGAGCTGTGCACTACTTTGGATCTGATGCCAAAAGGTGCTTAGGGACGCATGAATGTAGCCCTCATCTACAACTTGGTAAAGCCCCTGTACTTTTTTCCCCTGCAGCTGCTTTAGAGAGTTACAGAGAAGTAGTACAGTACTACGCTCTTGCTCCTGTGCCCTGTGAAGTCCCTTTGTGGAATCAAGGCCCATCCTCAAATGCTTCTGTTTTGACAGATCAAAACTTCTTCACCTCCTTTCTTCCCTCAATTAGCACCAGCCAGAGAAGGTAGGGACAGCTTCCTGTTTGATTGGTTCTTATTTATTTATTTATTAAATTTGTATGCTGCCCATCTCCCCCAAATACATTCTTAATGGTTGGTG